ATCACTTAATGCTCAGGTTTATTTTAGCAATGCAACGCAACGCGTAAAAAGACAGTATAAGTCATTATAATCCGTAATTATGTCCCCACTGGATGCTTAAGGAAAATCATTAATCACAATTTTCAAGTAGATTGATGCTAATTGTAACTCTAATTATATTTTAAGATTTATTCTTGTAAGCATTATAGATATTTTGTGTTTCTGGTGTAGAACCAAACTTTATTTATCTTAATTTAATGCTGTTGAGCAGCGGATGATGTTAAATCCATATACGAGATACATATCGGTGGGAAATGCATTGTTTGTCGGCTCCATCTAGCGTGCAGGTGTGAATGAGCAGATGGCAATCAATTGTTTCATGCTTGGTGTGAAACAATTCATTCATGAAACAAAACCGTTCATTTTTTCACATCACACTCAGTGTGGAACGGCCTTTAGGCTACATAAATAAGCCATGTCTCAGCACTATAGCATTGTAGTAACATAAGGTTGGCCTCCATTGACTTAAGGCCGGGACACCAAGTCGACGGCCAACTATTGGCCAATGTCGGGCCATCGGCAAGCGTCTGTTGGACTAGTTTTTTTGGTTTGTTCCACGTCGGCTCTCGTCGGTCTCACGTCAGCAGCAGTTTGCCCAATTCAGCATGTCGAGTCGGTGAGAGTGAGAACTCTGATTGGATGCAAAAAGTAAAGCAAAAAGTGATGAAAATGAGCAAGTAAGTCAAGACGGCACAGACAGAAATGTTACGTTATCTTACCTGAGCATTTCAATACACAAATATTTTCATAACAACACGAGCCTCATAAAATGAAGAAAAGGATCAACATAACTGATATTCAAAATATTAAGCCAGCGCTGCTTACGTTTTATATATCTGCGTTTTTCTCATACATCCTTGTCTCAATTTCTCCTTTTGAATGACAAATATAGACTATTGACACCTACTGATATAGACAGTTAATTCCTTACATGCAGGTGCAGAACACACATGCTAGTTTGCAGTCGGCTGTAGTCTGTGCAGTGTGCTCAGGCACAGATTTTTGGTCCAGACGCGAGGCCACAACACGGTCAGCTTTCTTCGCCGCTAGTTCTATGAAGTCGGCATGGTGTGTCCTGGGCTTAAAAGGCAATGTACTGATAGCATAGCCTAGAAACCACAAAAACAACAGCCACATCTGCATGAATAAGTCATATCTCAGCACTATATCGTAGTAGTAACATAGGGTTGAGCTCTGTTGACTTAGGGCACTGCACAGTATTGATAACATAAGATCTACCTTGCAAGCTCTTACACCAAGCTGTGACATCTAGTTTAGTGACAGCAGGCAGCACTCAGATGTTGATGTGATTGACGGGTGGAGGGTGGAGTTTATGGTTGGTTCTGTTGGTTTGGCTCAGAGAGGTTTCTCTGGTGTGTTTGTGCAGGTGATCTTACTCATAGGAAACAAAGCGGATCTGGAAGCGCAGCGGGACGTGACCTATGAGGAAGCTAAGCAGTTCGCTGAAGAGAACGGTGAGTGAAGCGTATGTCTGTCACATGACAGATCACACGACACTGTTCTGATTTCACGCTTGTTTGTGTTCACAGGTCTGCTGTTCCTGGAGGCCAGCGCTAAAACGTGAGTTATTCCAGCAGCTCCAGCATTATGGATGGGACGTGTGCAGTGAAAACGTCACATATAAATCATCAGAGAATGTGTTTATTAACAAAGCCAGACGTCAGAAACATATCCGTCTGTACACGTGTATTTATGAGGAAAACCCATTGTTACAGACACTGAAAAGCCTGAATATGGAAGGGCAGATAAAATGCTTTAAAAATGTTCACAGAGATGAACTTTGAGAGAAATATGCTATTTAACATTATTATTATTAATATTCAGAGAATAACATTTCTGACACCGATTCCTCCTCTGACCTCTACCATACTCTATCCATCCATAGCAACTAGCCAGAACACCCTAGCAACCAGCTTTAACGCATTACTAGCTTGTTCCTAATGTTATATTCCCATGGTTATAACATTTTTGTATGTTCTTATGTTTTTTTTTTTTGCATGTTGCTTGTATGTTCCTAACGTTTAAGCATGTTGTTAGCACATCATAGCATATGAATAGGATTGTGCAAATTCATTAGAATCAGCCACCAGTTCAGCAAAATGTAATATATTTATGAACTGTCAGAGATTGTGTTGGAAAGCCTGGTCAGAAAGATTGAATTCACTTTTTTAAGTCTGAAAGTTTTAAAGCCATGCAGTCTCTGATGGATAGAATGTTACAATATTAGTACGTTGCTAGCACCTTTATGTTAATATCATGCTTATAATGTTTTCACACATTGCTCATATGTTCCTTCCTAACATGTTGTTGCTAGCATGTTTTAGCACATTGCTAAAGCACATTTAGCACATATTGATAACATTTTAATAGTATGAATATAACGTTTTCACAAAATGCTTGTTTTAGCTTGTTGCTAGTGTGTTTTAGCATGTTGCTAGTGTATTTTAATGTTTTCTTAACCATGTTGCTAGTGTTTTAACATGTTGTGTTTTAGCATGTTGCTAGTGTTTCAACCCTTTCTTAGCATGTTGCTAACATGTTTTATCATGTTGCTAGTAGGGATATGCCGGTATCAAATTTTCATGTTGCGAGCTCACATGTTCCGCCATGCGCTTCTCGTCCGCGCTTATTTACATCAGTGCGCACACGTCTTTCACGTAGCATACAGCGGTGTTGTGCATTTTGACCAGTTGATGGGAAAAGTATTCTTAAAATGCATTCAAAATTCTGAATAACTTGTAATATATAATTATTCACGGTATTTAGAAGAGTCCACGATAACAATATCGTGCATATTCATTACCGTGATATATCGCATTACCGAATACCGGCACAAGTCTAGTTGCTAGTGTGCCACCTCATAGAATAGTTATGTTTTCTCATGAGATCAGGTTGGGTTTTCCCAAGCCATCAAGTTTGTCTTGATCTTTTATTTTTACCTAGATTTTTTTTTTCTTGTTCCCTTAATCTCATGTGAGTGTATAGATGCTAACCGTGTGTTTGTGGTCACAGAGGTGAGAATGTGGAGGATGCGTTTCTGGAAGCAGCCAAGAAGATCTACCAGAACATTCAGGACGGCAGTCTGGATCTGAATGTGGCCGAGTCTGGCGTGCAGCACAAACCGTCAGCGCCGCAGGGCGGCCGGCTCACCAGCGAACCACAGCCGCAGAGGGAAGGGTGTGGCTGTTAATGACCTTCATCCTCCACCCACCCACCACAACCATCCTCCTCTTCCTCTATCACACACACGCTCGCGGCCTCGGCCTGTACCAAAGAGCCGCGGGAACCGCAGAGGGGAGGAACACGGCTACATGCACTCATTTCCTCCTCCTGTCTCTCTCTTCATCTGTCCATCCTCTCTCTCTGGTCAGTGTGTTCTTACGTTCCCATCCTCACCTTCCTCTGACTGCACCACTGCTCATCACGTCACACACATCAGTTCAGCTTCTTTTTATTGATTGATTTTATAGCTCAACAATGTGACATCACAGAAATAAGACCCATACTGAAGGAAGTGGCCAAACGTGTGACATGGATTCATAATCCAACATGCTGCTGCTGCTGCATGGGTTGTGTTAGGATCGTTTTAAGAACATCAAATGCGTATCTGCTGCCGTTTTTCCAACCGTATGAGAGTCAATGTGGTTGTGAAAATCTGTTTGGGTCGGTCACCAACAGGACACCTGTCTGACGCTCCTGCAGATAAAAAGCACTAGGTTGAGTGTGCAAAATAATGCATCTCAGTTTTATATGCAGCTGTGCTCAGAATAATGCATTTCATTTTTTTATTCATCTGTAAATGCGCAGTGGTCGCATTGAGTCCACTGATCCGATTTAAAACCTAATAAAGCGTCTCCTGTTGCAATCACGTGCATGTTCATATGCGAGCGCATGTGTGAGTGTAGAGTCGGTTTGGGTCGGACAGCTTTATGAATCAGAGAATTTACGGAAAGATTCATTCTTTCATCGCATCCATCTCCTCTTCTGCTCCATCATATCAACATTCATTCCTCTGTCCTCACCACCATTATGTTATGTTGCCTTATTATTATTCATGTTAAAATTATTACTATCAGCGTTTAATCAACAAGCGCAACATGCAGTTCAGACTTGAGTTAATAAACAAACGGTTTTACAACAGTGCTACTGTTTTTGTATAGATCTATGAAATGTGATGGAAATGGCTCCAGTCAGTGCATTGGCTTGTATATTAACAGCACCACCGCAAACTTCCTCTGAAGCAGCTTCTGTGTCTTAATTCAGTGTATGTACCATATGAAATCGGCTCTGATTCAGCTGCTGTAAATAAGGCTGTATCTGTTGATGTAACGAGCACTGACTCCTGACTCAGCGTGTACATCACAAACTCTCACACATCCAGCTGAAGAGACAGGAGGCAAATTCTCCTACAGAAAGTCTTAAAAATGGAGATCAGATCTTGACTGATCTAAGGCAGGCACTAGTCCTTTTGAACTGCCTGAATCTGCGATCTGAAAGACCTTGCTGTTCACATGAGCAACAACAGTACATATGTATAAACTTTGTAGGAGCTGTTAACGTTTGAAAATCTGTTCTTGTGTGTATATGATTTTAAAATGTTGACATTTTGATTTTAATGACGACAATAAAAATGCTCTAGACAGAAAGTGTTTCTGCTTCATTCTGAATTGACGTTTAAAATGAAGATGAACCACAAACACATGCATATGCAAAAGCACATTAGAACAGAGCAGACAACATGAACACGCTGACAGAAACAAACTACGTTGTTCAAGTAGCAAAATTGCTTTGTATTTTTTGCAACAAAAATTGCACCAAGGTTACAGGACGAATCAACTAAAAATAAGTGATGTGTATTTACAAAGACGAGCAATTAGTCTACAAAAGGGTGAAGCTTGAATACAAATTTAAAAGTAGTGGCATGATTTTAAGAGAAAAAAAAAAACATGAAATGTCAACACTGGTAGTACCATGTTGAATTAAAGGCAGCTTGTGGTTGGCCTCCTCCTCAGGCGTCGCAGTCTAATGGCAAAGTGTTGGAAAAGACGAAGTAATACTGAAAACAACTGCATTATTTCAATTACACAAGCAAAACACGAAAGTTTTAGTAAATGAGAATCATGGCTTGTGGTCATTGGATAAAGCTGCTCCGTTCAAGTCCGTGATCCCGGAGCACTTCTGTCAGTGGTGTGTGGAAAACCTTTGAAATGACATCAAGTGGTAACTGAAGATCTTTCAAGGACATTACAAAAACATCTATACATATACTGTTTCTGAAGCGCCGATTCTCACTGACAAGTCTTTCTCCTTGAGACAGTAGTGTTTCATTCGCTGACCAATGATTCATGTTCAGCGAGTCTCTTTAAGGCAACTGTAGTTTTGGAAAGGCATGTATGTAGTGATTGTGCTGTAGGAACACTTGTTCAAAACCCTTGACGGGCCTGGAAAAGGTGAGAAAACCGAATTAACGACCCCATCAGTGAAGTGTCAATCATGGCACAGTGTTGCAATCATACAATACTTGATCAGTCGGTTTGAAGTTCCTCATATCACAGGGACCGTTCACATCTCGCAACAAAGCCCTTTCTTGACCAACCACACAAAGAAAACTAAGCTGGACACATCAATAAACAGTCTTTATCAATACTATGATCATGAATGTAATCAAAAATATATTTTAATCCCTTAAAAAGGTTGAAAAGTGTGAGGCACATGAGGTGTTTTTCTGTCAGTCATCTGCAATGCTGAGATAATGCTGTCTTTAACAAATACTTTGAGAAAATGCAGAGAAGAAAAGTCAAGGAATTGCAGACAAAGACTCATAAAAAATCAAGTCACTAAGGCTTGGACCTGGGCTACCTTAAAATCACCAAACAGATTCTGGAGGAACATTACTGGTTCCCCTGCATTTGTGCACAGTAATAAGACACTGAATCGTTCTTAAATATTCATCTATTTGGCATGAGAAAAGCTGAGGTGGGTCCAATGGAAATGTATGTCACACCACAGCCAACCCAGAGAAGCCCCAGACACATAGATATCAGTTCCATCTATGCTCTTCTCCACTACCTCTGAACAATGTCACTAATCTCCTTGACAGAGGAAAGCAGCTTTGAAAAGTCTTGTGGTGTGTTGGCCCCCCCAGTGGCAGCAGGGCAGATCTGCAGCTCGCGCAGGCTGCTCTCTAACTTATTGATGGCTTCGCGGAAAGCGAACTTGTTGCGCATCTGCTGGATGGACTCGACGAAGCTTGCGCAATACTTGGACAGATTCTTGCCAGCTTCCAACACTGCACTGTGGCTGCCGGTTTGCTCTGAAATGCGGCCAACGGCAGCTCGCAGGAGCTCCGTGCTCTCCAAAACCATCTCGCGTGTGATGCAAGAGTTGGAGAGTCGCTCCGACGGCTGGCGCGTTTTCCTTAGCGAGCGGCGAGTCGTCATGAGGGGAATGAAGTTGGATCCTGGGTCACCAACAGCCGATCCCGTTCCCATCCCTGGTAGCTGACTGCTTGGGGATGTAGAAGAGGTCTTTGGGGGCTGCACTTTCGAGGTGTTTTTTGGCAATTTTTTGCCACTTTCTTGGGAAAGACTTGTGCCCCTGCCTTGTTCTGTGGATCCGGGACTCGGAGGGTTTTGTTCAGAGGAGCCTTTGACTTTGGTATCCGAAGAAATATCAAAAGTGGGACTCCTCGAAGATTTTCCAGATTTGGCACTAGAGACAGGAGGTGGAGGAGGAGCCAGTTTAGGTTTTGCAAACTTCCCCTTCTCTCTGTCTCTTTGTCCAGGGACTTCAGAAGAGTTCTTGAGCCTACGAGGTCTGCATTCCTCACCAGATGTTCCCAGAGGTGGAAACACATTGGGCTTGAACAGCTCCGCTTGCAAGGCACTTGTTTTGGAGCTTTCCATCTGCACATGTGGCCGACGGGTGAGCTTAGGTGTCAGAGTCAAAGGACTTGATCCAGGACTAGACTCTGAGTCCTTAAACACTTCGTCAGGTGCATCCTCTGTTTTCTTGGGAAGGCGTGGTGGTGGGGTAAGGGTGCCACCACGTGGCATGCAATCTGCTTTCTTGCGTGGCAGAGCCGGCTTGCCTCCAATGGTGCCCGAGTCAAAGTGAGATGACTGGATGTCACGCGGCAGGGTGACAGACTTCCACTCAGTGCGTTCGGACCCTGGGGGCATGCTAGAGGCGGAAGAAGACCTTAGGAATCGCTTGGAGTTTGACATAGGATCTTCTTCTGCAGGTGGAGTTGTGGCAAGCTTCCCTCCGCCACCCGATGTTGTGACCGTGCCCTTTTTACGTGAATGAGAAGGGAAGAGCTGACCAGGATATACTGGGGTTCCATTGGTGACTCCGACAGCCGTGGTATTGTTGGAGCTGACCAATTTGGAAGGGTCAATGCTGTGCAAGGCATCATTTGTGGAAGCCCCGTTGTTGAAATCATCTCTGCAGTCGGGACCCAGTCCTCTACGATCCAGGTGCCCATCCATCTTACCAAAGGAGCTGCTGCGCTTTGGGGGTGCCGGGGCGGTTCTCTTCTTTTTCTTGATTAAACTGAATGGATTCATTCGGAACTTATCTTTATCTTTAGCTAGGAGGCGATCATCTTCGTTCAAGTTACTATCAAGGACAGGCCTCGGGAGCATCGGGGGCCCAGCCACCTCAGCTTCTGCTGCATCTGGAAAGGGTAAAACTTTATCAGTACAATTGCCCATTGCAGAAAGCAACTCAGAATTAACTGTGAATATTGGGAGAGTAAAACTTACCTGGACTGTCACCATCCCTACTGTCCATATGTCTTCTTAGTGTCCTTGTCTTAGTGGGAAGTTCTGGTGCCTGCTGTATTGGACCCAGTGTCAGCTTCTTACCTTTTTTCCCCAACTCTTTCTCCACCTCTGCAACCCATGAATATTGAAGATGAGCCACGAGAAAAGTACACGCAAATCTCTCTAAACCTCCAGAGACAAAGTCTTACCATCGGAGATACTGGACTCTTGAAACATTGTCTCAAACGCCTGGTGAGTTTCAGCAAAAGAAGGCCGCTCTGCAGGGTTCCATCTCCAACCTAAAGATAGAGACACTAAAGTCAGTCCAAAGGGCAACTAAAGACTTGTATTAATTGCTTAATTGTAACCATCTTATTCAAATACTTTAGCTTGTCTACTTTTTGCTCCTTGGATTTTCTTCAGTGATCTGATGAGCTACTTACAGGCCCTCATGAGCTCATAGACTTTCTCTGGGCATCCTTCGGGTCTGTCCATGCGGTAATCTTTCTCTAGTAGCTCGTACACTTGGGACAAGTCAATTCCAGGATATGGAGACATCCCGTAGGTGGCAATTTCCCAAAGCAGCACGCCAAATGCTAAAGAGTTCAAGCAAGAATTTTAGTTTTACCCATGAGATAACAGGGAGTGTTTAATTGATTTTTGCTTACCCCACACATCTGACTTAATGGAGAATTTGTTATAGGCCAGACTCTCGGGGGCGGTCCATTTAATGGGAAACTTGGCTCCTACATGGGCTATGTAGGTTTCTTCCGTCATCAGGCGACTCAGTCCAAAATCTGCCACTTTAACCAAGTGGTTTTCCCCAACTAAGCAGTTACGGGCAGCCAGATCCCTGAAACAAGAACCAGGTCTTAACTGGAAACGTGTCACTTCCTACAAATACCATGTTGTCCCTTATCCTTGTCCTGTAATGTTTAGTCATTTTTAGTTCACAGAATCATAAGACTAGAATGGACACGATATAAACAACGCAATAAATAGATTTTGTAAACTACCTGTGAAGGACCTGACACATTCTGATGGTGCTCTACATGTTTCTGCAACTGACTTTTTTACACGGCTATTCAGTTATCTTGTGTGCTTCTTTTAGTAAATCAGGCCGAGAGAATGATACCACTGCCTATATAGACAATTTAATTATTGTTTGTCAAAGTGCTATAAAACCTGTTCCAACTAGTGTGAAAACCCTTCTGTCTGATAAAGCATCGCTGAGAGAAAGGCTCAAGGCAGAAACTCAAACTATACACATCAAGCTACTATAAACGGAATAGTATGAAGAGCCAAGACATTGAATATTTAATAACAATTGACTGGATTTATTACAAACGCAGCACCTACAAGCGTGTATGTAGGTGTCACATCTACACTGCAGAAGATCTTGCTCACCTGTGGATGAAGTTCTTCTTCTCCAGGTACTCCATGGCAGAGGAGATCTGTGTGGCCATGTAGAGCAGCACCACAGCATTGACCTCCTCATGATCACATTCACGCAGGTAATCCAGCAGGTTTCCATGAGTCATGAACTCTGTGATGATATAAAACGGAGGTTCCCGTGTGCAGACACCTGACATAAGAGAAAAACACAGGACATCATTCAGCAGGTAAGCACTCTCCTTCATATCCTTCAGGATCATCACGTCTCTTTGTGAAGGAAACTTCATTTAGAAAAAAATTCCTCCTGAAAATCAGTGGTCGATTCATGTTTCAGCCCAAAAGCTAAAAAAATAGACCTACAGATTCTGCATTAAGAACTTACTGGTTGAAGGTGGTGGATTTGTTACAAAAGTGCTGCTTTGATGACTTTTATTACCTTCCCTCTCGTTTAACTAAGGAATAATATTCAGTTAAGGCTGTTTCTTGTGACTTTTCTCTCTTTAAAATTAGGTATTGGTAACAACTATGAAACGATGATGATCCTTATTTCATGGTAAAAATTTGACTAATTTATGAAACAAGTGTGATGTTTAAGAAAGGGACCTCATGTCTTCATCTAGTGTGTGTGTTTTAATTTAAAATAAATGTAATCGAGGAGTCAATTCCTAACTACTACTAATTTGACTTACTAGTCATATGGTGCGTAGCGTCCTGGAGAATAGTCCGACATGAGTTCCGCTCTGACTCTGATGGCCAGCACCCCAGCAGAGTCGGAGCAGAACTCATGTTGAACAACATCTCCAGGACGCTACGCACCATATGACTAGTAAGTCAAATCTCAATTAACTGCCCTGATGACTTTTGTTCTACCCGCTTAAATGATAGAAGTACTTGCGCTGTACAATCTATAAAGACTGTGTCTGTTCCCCGAATATTGAGGTCAAAATATAAATTTAATGCAGGATCTAGAAAAAATCTGATCATGATTAAACCAGAAAAATGTAAAATAAATGAACAAAAACAATTTTTAAAGTTTGGGCTCATAAACATTAGATCGCTCTCACCCAAAGCAGTTATTGTAAATTAAATGATCACAGATAATAGTTTTGATGTACTTTGCTTGACTGAAACCTGGCTAAAACCAAATGATTATATTGGTCTAAATGAGTCTACTCCACCAAGCTACTGTTATAAGCATGAGCCCCGTCAGACTGGTCGTGGCGGCGGTGTTGCAACAATATATAGTGATATTCTCAATGTTACTCAGAAGACAGGATACAGGTTTAACTCATTCGAAATACTTATGCTTAATGTTACACTGTCAGATATGCAAAAGAAATGCATCATATAATAATTGCTGTTAATAGTGTTCATCGTCTGTTTGATTACGTCTTTAATTGTTTTTCCGTACATTTCTGCCATATGTACATTAACTGACAGTCACCACTGATAAGCTACCACTAAATATTGTAGAAACTTAATTTGCTGTGAAGTTGCTTTGCAATGATTTGTATCGTGAAATGTGCTGTACAAATAAACTTGAATTGAATTGAATTCCATCAACTCCTAAAGATGAAGTCGAAGTCGATTCCCAAAAATTAACCAAACAACCCTGATGAACTGGCCCTTTACCGCTCAAACCTTTTTATGAAAATTGCTTTTAAATGCAAATTATAGAAAAAAATATCTACTGTCCACTAATGTATCACTGTGGCACATTGCATTTATATAGTAATTTGATGTATTTGGGTAATTTGAAAATGTTAGTGCTTTACATTTTGTACATCATACTTCTGAGCTTGGGTGCCATGTACGGGACGTGCACTCCATTACGGATTAAAAAGAGGAACAAAAAACAAGGTAAGAGATCTTTAGGCATGTGAAAAGTGTGTTTAATGCATAGGCTACCATTGTTTCTCTCACTGAATGTTGTGTTAGGTGCCAGACAGGTAAAAAAAAGAATAGAAGGAGACCCGGGTTCCATTGTCTGTTTGTTCACATGCATCTATCAGATTGGGCGCTGCCTCCGGGTGGCAGAGTTATGCAAATCATATCAATCACACCCATTTCATTAAAAGGAGAGTAATTTATTAAAAAATATACAATAGGTTTCATACAAATTATGTGTTTGATAAAAGGGAGTTATTTTACAAAGGTATATGTATTACGTGCACATTTTTAAAATACTAGTGTGACTAGTAGACTAGTGTGAGAGAGGGGGTACACAGAAGGGCGTTTATGGCTCATTTCCACTAAGAGGTACGGGTCAGTACAGTACAGTATGGTATGATTCAGGACAGTACACCCTGATCCAGCTTGCGTTTCCACTGCCAACAGTACCCTTACTTGATAGGCGTGGTATATGCCGGAAAGTAGCTATCAACGTCATTCTCCCACGAAGAAGAAAGCGTGGCATTGTGTGTGAAAATATAAAATTATAAAATACACTGTTATATTTTTTGTGTTTGCACACTCTGATGTAAACAAGCCCAACACGCATGAGCAGCATGGTGGAAAAAGTGAAGGAGACGCTTCATTCCCCTTGTAGCACGCACAAGTGACGATTCTCTGTCAACCAATCAATGTTCCACCGTGAGTCTAGCTCCACCCTTTAGGTATCGGACTACTGTGCTAGGTACCCCAACGGAAGGGTCCCAAAAAAGTGGTATGGTATAGTTTGCTATTTTGGTACCATTCACAACTTCTGACAATGGAAACGGAAATAATTGTGTTCCGTACCGTACTGTACTGTACTGCTCGGTGGAAAAGAGCCACAAATGCCTGGAGGGGGTATGCGACTAAAAAGTTTGAGAACCAATGATTTAGATAAATTCACTAGTGGACCTTCCTGACCCATCTACCCATCTATGTTTGATCAGACATATAAATGCAGGACCAAGCCCCAAATATGATGCCAATTCCTGAGAATGCGATACGGTTTAGCGTCAAATCACAAAGACTGCGCTGTAATTACAAACACATTACTTTTTTTTTTTTACTATTTTGAAATACTTTTCAGTTCAATAGCATTACATTTCTTTATTAATTTAATTTTTATCATTTGATAATAAATAAATAAAAATTAGATGCATTTCCCCAATTTGTTAGCTTTAGTCCCTGTACAAATGTATAAAACTATTGCACCCTAAGAGTCATACAGTGTGCAGCACAGAATAAACACTGGACTCACCTAACAGCTGCACTAAGTTTGGGTGCTTGATTTCTTTCATGACTGCAGCTTCTTTTAAAAACTCTTCCACTTCCATTGTGTCCTCCTGCACAAAAGAAAAAAACAATTCACATCCAGCCTTCACTGTTTTATGCTCAAAACTATGATTTAGATGAGAATTTTTATGCTCTAGCATAAAAGAGCAGCAGAGAAAAACAATGCTAAATGTGGATAATTTGACCGTATTTTCATTGTATTCATCTGTCATGTGGTAGAAGCTCATCAAATTAGACATGTGAACATGGACATGGCCTCATCCTCAGAAAGCATGAACAAAACTACACGAAGTCAAAGCAAACACCACCCACATGCCATTAAGCAGGTGTGATGCGTTCTCGATGTCTGAGAAGCTCCAGTCTTTGAGTCTCTATTTCACTGACCTTTAGTGTTTTGACAGCCACAGTTAGGTTGTATTTCTTCCAGACACCCTCGTACACCTCTCCATACTGCCCTCCGCCCAGCTTGTGTTTCATGGTAATATCAGTGCGCTCCATCTCCCATTTGTCATAGTTGGGTGAGACGCCATAGATGGTGGGCTTGTTGCGTTTGGGCGCTGGGTAATGCAGCGTCGTGATCAGACCATCGGATACCGTGGAATGATGGTGAACCAACTCCGCCAGCGTGTTGAAGCGGCTCTCCGACGACACATACAGCTGCAGGGCGAGAGACACGAGAGCGTGAGCATAATGGGCACAACCAGCCTCACGCCAGCCTACAGATGCTCAAAAAGGAGCAGAAGTGACAATACACAAGTTAAAAGCTCCATGCTGTCCCGTGATAAAAACGACTAGCCGCTAGGGCTGCACGATAAATCGCATGCGATATTTAATGCGCATCTTGTCAGAAAGCCGGTTCTGTAATCAGCTGTAAATCTCCATCACCTGCGGGCTTTCACATTGAGCAGCATTAACTACACAGAGCCGTTGTTCACTGACGAGCTGCGCAAAAAA